TTGCAGAGTCTGGAGCTGTTGGCAGACAACTACGGTAGGAAAGGACCAGTGCAGTGAGCATGGTGATGGGACTAACGTCCGCAGGCCCCATCTATCGCCTCGTCACGTTTGGCAAGTCCCGTGTCCTCATCAGTTCCCACGACCTGGCCGACGAGGTCTTCAACGAGGAGCGTTTTCGCAAGGCCGTCTTTGGCGGCTTGAGGGAGATCCGGAACGGCGTTCATGATGGCCTCTTTACCGCCGATTATCCCGGCGAGGAGAATTGGGCCATTGCCCACCGGATTCTGGTGCCCGCCTTCGGGCCGCTGTCGATTCGGGGCATGTTTGACGGTGAGCATCCATTGGATCGATCGATCTCGATTCACTCGGCTGATTCGCGACAGAAATGTATGATATTGCCTCCCAGCTGGTGTTGAAATGGGCGCGTCAAGGGCCCAAGGTGCCCATCAAGGTCACCGACGATTTTACGCGACTGACGCTCGATACGATCGCCCTGTGTGCCATGGGCACCCGCTTCAACTCCTTCTATCACGACGACATGCATCCCTTTGTTGAGGCCATGGTCGGCTTTCTGAAAGGTTCCGGGGCCCGTTCTCGCCGCCCAGCAATCATGAACAACTTGCCCACCGGCGAGAACACCAAGTATTGGAATGACATTTCCCAACTGAAAAATGTCGCCCAGGAGCTGCTTGACGAGCGGCGACGGAATCCGGAGGACAAGAAAGATCTCTTGAACGCCATGATCCTGGGGAAAGATCCCAAGACGGGCCAGGGTCTGACGGATGACTCGATCATCAACAACATGATTACGTTCCTGATCGCAGGTAACTACCTGGAGGAAACCGTGGTGTTTGTTAGACTTCTGACCTCTGTCTAGGCCACGAAACGACCTCTGGCTTGTTATCCTTTCTCTTCTATTTCCTTCTGAAGAACCCTCACGCCTATAAAAAGGCTCAGGAGGAAGTCGACACCGTGATTGGCCGCCGGAAGATCACCGTCGAGGACCTCTCCAAGCTGCCTTACATCAATGCCTGTCTTCGCGAAAGCCTCCGTCTGAGGCCGACGGCCGCCGCCATCACCGTCGAACCTCACCCGACCAAAAACCACGAAGATCCCGTCACTCTCGGAAAAGGCAAATACGCCCTGGAGAAGGGTGAAAGAGTCGTGATACTGCTTGCGAAGCTCCATCGGGATCCAGAGGTGTACGGACCGGATGCCGACGAGTTCAAGCCGGAGCGAATGCTGGACGAGAATTTCGAGAAACTGCCCAAGCACGCATGGAAACCGTTCGGCAACGGCATGAGGGCCTGTATTGGCCGCCCGTTCGCGTGGCAGGAAGCCTTGCTCGTCGTCGCCATCCTCCTGCAGAATTTTAACTTCCAGTTGGATGACCCAAGCTACACCTTGCGTATCAACGAGACCCTGACGGTGAAGCCCAAAGACTTTCAGATGAGGGCCACCTTGCGGGAAGGCCTAAAAGCGACCACGCTGGAGACAATCTTGAACGGCGGCGAGGCACCTAAGGAGGCCGCCCGAGACCAGAAGAAGAACGCCTCCGCCGTCAAGCCCGGGTCAGGCAAGCCCCTTCACATCTTCTTCGGAAGCAATACGGGGACGTGTGAAGCGTTAGCTCGACGGCTTGCCGACGATGCGGGTGCTTATGGCTACGCCGCCGAGGTGGATTCTCTCGACTCCGCTATGCAGAACATTCCCAAGTCCGGGCCGGTGGTCTTCATCACGTCTTCATACGAAGGCCAGCCACCAGACAACGCGGCTCATTTCTTCGAGTGGTTGAGCGGGCTCAAAGGGAAGGAACTGGAAGGAGTCAACTACGCTGTGTTTGGATGTGGCCACCGTAAGTTATCCTAAAAACCATTTCGAATTTTTTTTCTGACTTGTCTAATCTTTGGCGCACCCAGATGACTGGCATGCAACGTTTCACCGGATCCCGAAAGCGGTCAACGATCTGGTCGCCCAGCATGGGGGCAATCGGTTGTGTGAGATGGGACTGGCGGATTCCGCCCATGACGATATTTTCAACGATTTTGACAACTGGAGCGAATCGGCGTTCTGGCCGGCCATCTCGTCCACGTTCAGGGCTTCCAAAACCGAGGCTGCGGCCAAACAGAGGTCCAGCTTGCAGGTGGAAGTCAGCTCTGGCCTGCGCGCGGCCACACTGGGTCTCCAGCTGAAGGAGAGTCTGGTATTGGAGAACCGACTGCTCACGCCGCCCGGTGTGCCGGAAAAGCGCCTGCTGCGGTTCCGATTGCCGTCCGATATGACCTACCAGTGTGGTGACTATCTCGCCGTCCTCCCTGTCAACCCCAGTAGTGTCGTGCGACGCGCCATCCGCCGATTCGGCCTGCCCTGGGATGCCGTGCTGCGGATCCAGAAAGCTCCCGGGGCGACGACCAGCCCGGCCTTCCCTCTGGACGTGCCGATCTCGGCCTTCGAGCTGCTGTCGACGTACGTGGAGCTGTCCCAACCGGCGTCGAAGCGGGATGTCAACATCCTGGCTGAGGCGGCCGCCTCGGATGCCGACACGCAGGCGGAGCTGCAGCATCTGGCAGCCAGCCCGACCCGATTCACGGAGGAGATCGTCAAGAAGCGGGTCAGCCCGCTGGACCTGCTGCTGCGGTATCCAGCCATCAACCTATCCATCGGGGACTACCTCACGATGCTGCCGCCGATGCGGGTGCGGCAATATTCCATTTCATCTTCACCCCTGCAGGACCCGACTGAATGTACGATCACGCTGTCAGTTCTGAACGCACCAGCTTTGTCCGCTATCGGCAGCAGCAGCGGCCACGGTATCGCCGACGAGGAAGAGCTCTACCTGGGCGTGGCATCGACCTACCTGGCGCATCTCAAACCTGACGAACTCGCCCACGTGAGCGTGCGGCCGTCGAACACCGGCTTCCGGCCGCCGGTGGACCTGAAGACGCCGATGATCATGGCGTGCGCGGGAAGTGGCCTGGCGCCATTCCGGGGGTTCATCATGGACCGGGCGGAGAAGATCCGCGGGCGACAGAGTGGGCGGTCCGACGGGCAGGCGGCAGAGAAGCCGGCCAAGGCCATCCTCTACGTGGGCTGCCGCACGCCGGGCAAGGACGACATCCACGCGGACGAGCTGGCGGAGTGGGAGCGGCTGGGCGCGGTCGAAGTCCGGTGGGCGTACAGCCGACCGGCGGACCCGTCCCAGAAGGGCCAGTACATCCAGGACCTGATGCGCGCAGACCGGGACGAGCTGGTCTCGCTGTTCCAGGCGGGAGCGCGGATCTACGTCTGCGGCAGCACGCGGGTAGGCAACGGCGTGCGCGACGCCTGTAGGGACATCTTCCTGTGGGAGCGAGCGCGGATCCGGACAGAGGGCGGCAACGAGCTGGCGGAAATCGACGACGATGACGAAGCCACGGCGGTGGAGAAATTCTTCGAGCGGCTGCGGACGAAGCAGCGGTTTGTGACGGACGTTTTTACGTAGGTTTTGCCTTGCGGATATTTCAGTCACTGCTTTGAGCTTGTTTAACGATTTTGTTTGCTTGGTATATAATTACATAAACATGCAGGATTTATATAAACAATAGAGATAGATAGTCGAAATCCGTTGAACAAATCTATGTTTGTTGCGTCCGTCGATTCGTACTACCGAATTTGTTGCATTATTTATTTACAACTGCCATCTAGCACACATACTGATATCACAAGGAGTTAGCTAGTTGATGCCTCGCATCATTGATTTCTAGTTCATTATTATTGCATTCCTTCAATTAATCCAGGTACTGAGTATTACTGATGTTCGTTAGGGTTAGGGTAGGGCAGGGCCAGTCGGGGCCTAACGGATGAAATATCCCGTCCATCACGGACGAATTCGGCCGTCCATTCGATTCGAATGTATGCCAGGCTACAGCCATGACGTGGCAGAGGAGAGTAAGCAAAGAAAAACGGAGTTACTCTTGCATGTGTCCTTTATTATTATTTACTGTTGATCTTAAGAACTGAAGAAAGAAAAAAAGTCTTTATTGTGTTGATGTTTGATTGATTGATTGGTTTGTCGACTACACCCATAGAGCAAGAGAGACTGGACTGCAGCAGGGTCCAAACTATTCCCCCTGCTTCCTTCCTTCCTTTGCTTTTCTGGTTGTTTGCTACAACAGCAGCAGCAACAGCAATTGTCAACAAGACCAGACATCTCATTCATGAATACAGTACAGAGTGATTAATTACTTGTTTAAGCGATACCAAACCAGACAGAAGAAAGAATCCATCCATCCGATCGTCTAGACCGCTGCTCTTGAGAAATGGTGTCTCTCCAGACTGTCCGCGCACACAATGCGACACTGAAGGAGTTGGGACCGGGGCTGGTTGGTGTGTTTGGTGCGTATCTATCTATCTTTCTGTCTGCAGAAGAAATGCTATCATGCTATCAATCAATCCTTGTGATTTGGCCATGTCCCTCTACTACAGTGCATGCATCCCATCCATACATACCCTCTATCTTATATACTGTCCAGAACCAACCTTTCTTTCTTTTTCTATTTTATTTAAAACTGACATTTCATTTTTTTCCCCTTCCCAGTCGGCGGCACCAGCGGCATCGGCTCCTCCACCGCCCGCGAATTCGTCCGCCACACCCTCGCGCCTCGCGTGTACCTAGTCGGACGCAACGAGACGCAGGCCTCGCGCATCATATCCGAGCTGCGCGCGCTGAACCCGGAGGGGCAGATCTCTTTCGTCAAGAGCGACGTCTCGCTGCTGCGGAACGTGGATGCTGTCTGTGACGAGATCAAAGCAAAGGAGGAGAAGGTCAACCTGCTGGTTTTGAGTCAGGGGGTTTTGACGACGAAGGGGAGGGATGGTACGTAACTAACTATCTCTTGTCTTGTCGTTTTTTTTTTTGATAGTCTCTTTCTAACTTTTATCAGAAACACCAGAAGGCCTCGACAAGAAGCTCAGCTTGCACTACTACTCGCGCATGCGTTTCGTGCACAACCTCCTCCCGCAACTGACTGCCGCAGCAACAGCAACAGCAACAGCAGCAGGAGCTTCTTCTTCCACTGGCAACGGCAGCCGCCTCTCCCGCGTCATCACCGTCCTGAGCACCGGCAGCGAAGGCCGTCTGAAACTCGACGACCTCTCGCTCAAGACGCACTACAGCCTTGCCCGCGCGTCGACGCACGCCATCACCATGTCCTCGCTAGCAATCAGCGAGCTGGCAGCCGCCCACCCCGAAACGACATTCATCCACTCCTTCCCCGGCGCCGTGAACACGAACCTGATGCGCGACTTTAATCCCTTCGCCCGGGGCCTCGTCAGTGGACTTATGTTCCTGCTGAAGCCGTTGACGGTGCCCCTGGCCGAGAGCGGCGAAAGACATCTCTATGCTGCTACTAGCGGGGTGTATCCCCCGCGAGCACAGCAGCAGCAAGGCGCTGGCGCTGGAAAAGACACTGCTGTTGCTACTGGCGCCGACGGCCTCCCCGGCAGCGGGGCATACCTCCTCCACTGGGACGGCTCGACGCCGAATAAAAAGGCCAAACTCCTCCGCGAGTACCAGTCCAGTGGTGTGGGGAAGCAGGTGTGGGCGCATACGCTGGAGGTGTTTGAGAAGATCTGTAGTCGGGGGAGATATGACTAAACTGCGCCTGCATAACTGAACACTACAGATACTGTATGCACTATCTGCACAGAAGGAAAAAGGAAGAAGAAAAACAAAAAAGACATGATATATACCTCCTCAAGCCACGAAGAGGCTCAGTCCTAGCTGCCCTACCTATCCTATCCAACTATATCACCAGAACAAGCACCCAAACTAACTATGTGATGTGATATAATATGTAATGTAATGGTAACAACCAAACAGGATAAGAATATACTAATTTTGTTTTGTTTGACAGTGTGTGTGGGGGAAAGCATGGAAGCATGAAAAAAAGAAGAAGAAGACGAAGAAGAGAAAGGCCGAACCTGTTCATTGCCCTGTTGATGAGTATCCAAAAAGAAAAAAAGGGAAAGAAAAAGGGGGAAAAAAGGAAAAGAAAAGAAAACTTCGTAACTGGTCAGAACGCCCTGTACCCGATCAGAACTGGTTTCGATCCCTAGAACCGCACGCCTGTATCCCTATCATGCCCGTGGTCGGAAAGAAGTAGCAAGTCAAGTAAAAAAAAAAAGAAAGAAAAGCATAACCATAACCATAACATAACATAAATGCAGGAATAGCATGTGGAACAGTCCCACGTAATAAATAAATAAATACTAAAAATTAAAAAGAAAAAAAAAACAAGGAAGAAAGAAGAAACGGAACGAAACCCTATACACTAGCCGACTACCCGACTACCGCCAACTGAGCCACCAGATCCGACGCCACGTCGAGATATGGATACGGACTCGTCACCTCCTTCTCCTTGTTCCGGATGCGTTTGCTGATCGGCCGCCACTCGCTGTCGCCCTCCGCCCGGATCACGTTCTGGTAGCCGTCGCACTTGAAGTCCACCATGTAGTTGTTCGCCTCCAGCTGGTACAGCTGGATGTCGATGAACACCCACACTCCGTAATCGATCTTCAGCGACGCTGGGAGCTCGGCCGACGAAGCCGCGCTCGCGTTGGCGCTGTCGGACCCAGCTTGCACCGCGGCGGCAATCGCGGCCTTCTCTTCCGCGCTGACGTTCATGAGATTGACTCGCCGACGAAGTTCGCCCAGGTCGCTCCGGCTGCTGTGCGTGCTGAGCGACACTCCCGGCGCCGTAACGCCTTGTTTGAGGAGACGCGCCCGGATGAACCATGGATCCTTCGGGATATAATAATCCGACGGCAGGTCCGGGTACTTGCGCTGTAGTGGTTTCGGTTGGTCTGGTGCCGGCTCCATGTTCGAATCAGAGCCCTCTAAATGAGAGTTAGTCAACTCAGTCTCAACTTGCTGATGACAAAAAGGTAGGCTACAAACCTGGTTCGGCCGGGAGGATCTCCCAAACACCCCCCTGCGCAGCAATGGCTTTGTACAAGCAGAGCATGGCTTCGTAAGGCTGGTTCCGGGACCGGATACCAAACTGCCATTTCCGTGACTTCTTCGGCTGGCTAGGCGCCGGATGGAATCCCTCCGGTGGCTCCAATCGAAGCTTCTCAAGGTCCACGATACTACGAGCATGCGGCTTCAGAGCTCTTGCAGTGGCGGCCTGCTCTTCCGGGGTCCGCTCCGCGGCTGGCTCTGCGCCATCCTGGTCATCGTCGGCGGGTGGAGATTGCTCCTCTTGTAGCTTGCTGTCTCGCTGCTCCATGAGCTGTTCATGGACATATGGCAGGCTGGTCGGGAGAATCCGGACATGGCTCACGCGGGGCTCTTCCTCGTCTTCGGGTTCCTGTCGATGGGGGATCTGAGCCGGCGGGGGTGTCGACTCCCGGACATGAGGGGTCAAAGGAGCAACAGGATCTTGCCGAAGAGCCGCCGCGGCGGTTTTGGGTGCCTGTGGAGAGAGGGTGGCGGTTTCTTGCTTGGGGGGAGAGGAGGCCGGAGGACAAACATCGAGATTGTCGTCTGTGGGAGCTAGAGGAAGTTAGCATCGAAGACAAAGATTTAAAAAAAAAAAGAAAAAAGAAACAATGAAAGAAAAGCAACGCTTACAATTCGTTTGCATCATCTCGTTCTCGGCAATGATGAAGAACGCATCCTTGATTGCGCTTGGCTCCGGCTTGCGCAGCGTCTCCTCAATCTCCTCCTTTCTGTAGCCCATACTCCGTTCGAGTTTCGACACAGCCACCTGGTGAATCTTCTCCTGCACCGACACCGGCTTGCCCGGAGCAATCTTGCGCGGATCGACCGCCTTGTTCGGATCCACGCCGGTGGTGATGAACTCCTCTGGCGGTGGTTGCAGATACCTGGGCAGGTCTTTCAAAAACCATGGGTCCTGCCGAATTTCGGGGATAGTAATTCGGTGCACCGGGTTGACTTGCAGCATGGCCCTGATCAGCCTCTGCGCGCCCGGCGAGATGTACGAGGGCACGTGGAATTTCCCCTCGTTGATCTTTTTGAAGAGTGCGGGGATGTAGTCGTCGTCAAACGGTAGCCGACCCACGAGCAGGACGTACAGGATCACACCGCAGCTCCAAACGTCCACTTCAGGCCCGGCATACAATTTGCCCGAGATGACCTCGGGCGCCGCGTAATTGGGGCTACCACAGCTCGTTTTGAGGAAATTGCCATCCGTCATGATGTTGCTCAGCCCAAAGTCGGCGATCTTCACGTTCTTCTCGCTGTCGATGAGCAGATTCTCGGGCTTGAGGTCGCGGTGGACGATCTTGTGCCGGTGGCAGTACTCGACGGCACAGATGATCTGCTGGAAGAACTTGCGGGCCTCGTCGTCATTGCACTTGCCGCGCTTTACCAAATAGTCGAACAGCTCCCTCTCTGCATATTCCAACACCATGATGATGTCCGTCTTGGTGGGGATGACCGTGTACCTGTGGCCGGTCAGTCAGTTGTCTCTCATGCAGTCGAACGAGACGGACATACAGCTTGATAATGTGCGGATGCCGCAAGAGTTGCAGATACTGAATTTCGCGCTCCACACGACCGACCATGTCTCTGGACAGCAATTTCCGGCGCGGGATGATCTTGAGGGCGACCTGGCGGCCGCTGGGCTGGTGGATGGCCAGCTTGACCTTCCCAAAGGACCCTTCGCCCAACACCTTGACCGTCTTGTACTGGTCGAGCCGCTGCATGTCTCTCACGGTGGCCGGCGACTGGGTGGGCGGCTCCCCGCGAGCAGCATTGGGGCGAGGCGGCGGAGGCATCGCCATGGCGGACGGAGTCGAGCTGGGCAAGGAGGCCGAGGCACGATCACGGTCTCGGTCGCGGTCGCGGTCTCGGTCGTGGCTGTAGGGCGGGAGGGAGACGAAGAGGTCTTCGTCGTCGAAGGCAGCGGCCATGGTGACGGGAGTGACGTGAGGTAGTTCTACCGGATTCTCTACCGGATTCCGTGGTCTCAGGCCGGAGGGAACAGCAATCTGGGACTCCAGCAGAGGGGGCGATGACGGCTCGACAAGGCCTGGAGACCAATCAGCCGCGCGCTCCCCACAGCAGAACCGCTGGCTGTGGAGCCGGGCAGACGTCAAGGTCGCGCTCGATCAGGAAAGCAGGAAAAGAACCGCGAGCTCTGCTCTGAAGCGCGGCGGACGAGACAAGAGACGGGCCAGCGTCTGGCGAGATGGTGGATGGTGATGGGCGACGATGGTGGGCGAAGCTGCCCGGCGGCGACGATCGACGGCCGGCGAGGGGAAGGCGGCACGCGAGCTGGTTGGGTCCTGTCCTCGCCAGCACGTCGTCGCACAGGTCGGCGTATATCGCTGGACGAGGATCTTATCCTGGTCTCATTATTATTGACTAAATCTAAATTAATTTCGTGAAACCATCGACAGGTCGATTTCCATGGCATTGCCACCCTGCCTGCTGACTCAGCATAGACGCTTATGTAAGCATGCATGAGATCACATGGTCAGCGATTATCTATTGGCGGGAGTGTATCATCAGGAGATCGAGAAAGGGATAGAGAATAAGCATAGGAACAGAATATACCAGTTATTTAAGGCTGTCAATTCCTTTGTCTGATTTGGTAATAGATGGCATGGTAGAGGCTCTTTTTCTCCTTTATATTGCGGTTCCGCTCTGTTTCTCACAGACTGTACTTTGCAAGTATATTAAACTTTCTCGTATAACTAACTCGACAGGGCTGACAAATGTTAACCAGGGAAGTCGTTGGCCCAGCTATCAAATTGGCTTCACTGAGCGAGCTAGACCTATTCGAAATACTTCCGGTATGCCCGCTTCCGCAGGCAGTAACGTGACTATCGTTCTTGTACCACCTAGTAGACATGCTGTAATTGCCTTACTCAACTAGGCAGGTCTTGCAGCTGGAAGAAGATCCGAATGGCAGCGCTGTGGTGTTCCTGGCATGGACGCAGATGACCGCTTCTATTGGGACACGGGACCGCCAGCTACTTGCCCATCCAGGAATTCCTGACGCGCTGTGTAACAAGCTCCACTGCCCAAGCCAAATGGCCCGATGTCTGCCCGACACGTTCGGTACCTTATGTAGTTAAAGGAAATCATTCTTTCACACAGCGATAAATTATAGCGATGTGCGGTGGAGATCATAGGATTGAGTATAGAAGGAGAGGATCGGAACATCTTCAGCAAGCAGCCCTAACCCTGAGCCCTAGGCCCTAGGCCGTTGTACTGATTCATCATGAAACAAGAAATATTATTGACGGTCGTATCAAACTGAAATTTGCGAACTGACTAAATTAAACTTAAATTGAATTAAATCTAGACTTTTTCTTTTTCTTTTCTTTTTTTTTAAAAAAAAAAGACGTCACTCAGAAAGGAGGGCTTGAACGTAGCTGCTTCTGGCCGGTGCTGCCTGGATGTCGTTGCAACCTCAGGCGCTCCAAAACCCGACATCTCGACGTCTCCGTAACAATATCGCATCCCTCTTCATTGTTTCCAGTAGCTTGTCCTGCGTCCATTAGCTACGGCCAATCTTCCTCGATCCCAAATCATCAGCAACAACCGGAGTATAGAGAAGGAGAGAGAGAGAGAGGAGGGAGGGAGAGCTTCTATCGAGTAAGAACCGTAGAATATTCCGTCCTTGGAATATCTCTGCATGTCGGCAAATGTAATCAATATTGATACCACAGATGAAAGCATCGGCAGCAGAAAACTAGCATCTATCAAAATAAATAAAAAGAGAACTAGCATCTTTTTTTAACATGTTTCGTCTCCCGTCTTCCTCAATCCCAGCTAAAAGCAATAATCAATACATATCGTTCTGAATACCCGGAAGCAGACTCAACCCAGCTGCTGGATCCATGTCAATGTCGTCAAACGGCACCTCCGTTATTCTTCCTGTAGCACTGTCCTCCAGAAGGGGCGCTGATGATGCCGTGCCGTCTATCCAGGGCAGGAGGGCGGTGTTGTCAAATCCTAAGTCGAATTCAGCTGTTGCTGTGTTCTCTTGGTTTGGCCAAACAGGGGTGTCAGTGATTGATGATGGGAACAGATCATTCTGACCGGCATAAAAGTTCCAGCTGAAAGGAAAGCTGATGGATGGAGGAATTGTGAGTGATGGGGTTATGGATAGGTCCATCGAAATAGGAGAGCAGTCGAGTTGCGATGGTTCGCTGCAATGTTCTGTTGGGTTCGAGCTTGGTGAGATGATGTTGGCTGGTATCCCAGTATCTGCAGCGTCGCCATTGTCTCGAAGCACTTGACGGACGTCAAAGTCACTGGTTTGATTTTGCAGAATGACTAACCTCCTCAGCATCTCGACCCCGTGTTGGAGGACGAACACCGACAGAAGCAACCGAATAATCCTTTCAAATCTCCTTTCAATCGTCCTTTCAATCGTCTCAAATTGTAGTCCAGAACGTTGCCTATCTGTGATGGCGAACCCTTCACCAGTTGGAACTGGAAAGAGAAGCTGCCTACTCCATCTATTTCCACAGAACTCCGTGTACAAGTACATGCAGTTTCGTTCCCGTGATATGTAGAATGACAACTCAAACAGTCCTTTCTGAAAATGCCAAATTCTATGGGAGGTTATGTTTGGAGCAGGGGGAGAATAATGTATGGTGTCCATGGATCCTTGACTTTGTCCAATTGAGTCTCGTGCTTTATACATCTCCCAGACAAGACATAATAATCCTATTTTGACTCAGTCACTGTCCACAAATTATTTTGAGAGACTTCTGAACATACTATCTTTTTGCATTATTAGTTCTGCCTCAGTTATTCCCACAGTATAACTTCCGGACCTTCCATCCAGATATTCGAGAATCTCTTCAAATTGATCAACTTCTATGGCTGAGAAACGGGTGATGTGGCACATGTTGAAAGTTTGACTTCCACTCAAAGGCTCTCTGGGAAGATAGCAGAGACTCGACACGTTGTCTGAATATATACCATTCCTTTGTAAGTTATGACGCATAACGATCTATTCAATGACCCCGAGATCTGAGAGTCGTTACCTAATGTATCCGACATACCGCGACGGGTCCTTTCAAATCGTCTCAATTTATGAGAGGCAACTTGCTTCCCGTTGTGATAATAGACAGAATCTTTGTCATGCAAGTTTCTCCCAGAAACTTTCAGCTAAGCAAGAAGGCTTCGTTTCTCCTCGGCTAGGACATTCTTTTCGAGATGCCACGCTTTGATTTTGCGCTTGTATTGTCTCTCCCTGAATGATTCCAGGTTATTAAACCGACAACAAGCAAGTATTCCAAAGAACTATCCACGGACATGTACGTACGTTGCAAAAAAGTTATGCTTTGTCCTCATAATCTCCTGGACCTCAGACAGCGTCCTGCCCTCGGTCCGATACAACTTCGTGATGCGAGGTCTCTGCTCATGCCATTCGTGCTCCGGTAATCGCCGAGCCCGTTTGAGAGCATTCTGGTCATATTTTTGAAACATGGTGGACAAATGACAAAACCATTTGTAGGGAAGAATGGAGTCTTCACTGCTGAGTGAATCACAACGCTCTTATAAGACTGTGGACTCAAGCTTCAGGCCAAGGCGAGGTTACACAAAAATGGCAACTAGAACGAAAGGCGCGCGAGGCTGAGCAATGCCCTGGATCAGAATCAGGGCGTCAGTTCTGATTGCTTGAACAAAAGGACCGCCAAGGATTCAAAAGTACCTACTCCCAGAGCGGACCGTACTTCCACCAAAAAGATCATCACCCGTGGGCCATGAGCAGACAGGACGTTGCACAAACGGGTGAATGATCGTCAAGCTGTGAGAACTATTGATAATTCGCATTGACAGCTTTCCTCCAGTCTAATATCCACAGGAGCAAAAGGACCGCCAAGACTGCAAAAGGACCTACTACCAGAGTAGACAGTACAGTCAGTGCTTCCACCAAAAGAACCAACATCCATGAGCTTCGGGGCATCGAGAAAGAGTCCAGCATGTAATCTGCTATGGATGATTTATTTCGACGTGTTTCATTCCAATGTTCGCAGGAGTAAAAGGACTGTCCTGTGACAAGCTGGAGATCCATCAGCCATCAAGAACAGGCAAGAAGGAACGAAGGAACGAAGGAAAGAGCGTTTCTGCTGCGAAACCGGCGCACCCTCCGCAGCACTTCTTTCCTCTACCCAGTCACCGTCAATCGACAGGTGACAGGTCCTTTTGATTCGAACCTGATTTTGAAACTCGAGCTCTCTCGCTTAGCCACCGCCTATTCACTACCCGCGTGTTCACTGGAACCGAAGACCGGAACAGGTCACGTTCATAAGGACCTAGCCATGAAAACAGTCATAGTATCGAGTCATAGTATGGTAGTCACGGGAGAAAACGGCATTCACTCTCAGGAAGCAGGTTAACATATAAGGCGGCTTCAGGACAGACCAGTTCTTTACAATCCTGTATTGAATACAGCCAGAAAGGCAAAAGCCATCCGTTAAATCAATATCAAAATTATACTTGTGATATTACATACTTCACTTTCACTGCCAGTATCCATCCTCACTGGCTTCTCCTCTTCGGTCTATAGCCAACAATCCAACCAGAGACAAAAGTCTTCACCTGATACAATGGCACTCTCCCTCGAATTGATTCTCGCCATATTCACTCTCATGGTTACCATCTTTGGCGTCATGTCCCAGCTCTTTGGTAACTTCCGAGCTGGCAGGCTGCAGAAATCGATGGATGAGGTAAGTCAGTCTGCTTTCAGCCAGTACCGAAAGGGTACACGCATTAGTCGACACCTTCACAGGAGCTGGGCCGACTGACATATGCATACTTTCACTCTAGGGCCTGAAATCGCTAAAAGACTGCGTGACACTGCTCAAAGAGCTGATTAAGCACCTTGAGCGCCTCGAGATGCCCATCTACACCCGCTCCTCGTCACAGTCTTCTTCGCGCGTTGTGTACAACCCGTCCGCCGATTTCTCTGCCAGCTCGTCCTCAGATTCATCCTTCTACAACCCCTCCGCTGCCTGTCTAGTCTAGCAGTCACGGCCTGAGGTCGGTTGAAGCTGTGCTGGGAACACGACAATGCCCAGATGGCGGAGACCCAGAGGTCGGAGGAGAGGCAGTGAATGGACACACGGGAAACAAACCCCCAAAAGTGCTTTTTTTATTCCCTTACATTTTGAAACGGAAAGGAGTTTTTGGTGGTTATATTTGATTTGATTTGCTTGCATCTGTATACCTGTACGAGTACATGACTGTGCATCTGCATTCTGCATTATACTGGTTGGTGGTCATTATCCTGTGAGAGTTAGCATCAGGTTTGCATATATAGATTTTATAGATTATTTGACATTATATTAATAGATGTGACGGTATACATTACATTCTGTGTGTATATTCATTGCTCAAGAGTCTCTCTACTATATCTCCTAGCCGCTCCCTTACCATGACGCCTTACTATGACTCCTTACATGTAGTCATCACCAATCTATACAGATTATATAAGCATCACTCGAGCAAAGACATAGATGAAAATCTGCAAATCTATCCATCATCAGTCTCCATTGTTCAACGCAGAAAGCTGAGCTGGCAGAGTAGATATTTGTGGAGAAACCTGCTGGATTCGATGCCAGTATTATTTTATGGTAAACATTATGTGCTCTTTTATAGATAGAGATCGTAGCAAAAATCTTGTAAGGTTATAATATTGTATGCTGTCAAGTGACCTTGAGGACAAAACAAGCTTGATCTTTTTGTATGTAGAAGCTACTCCGTAGAATACAAGCGTATCGTCTCCAGCGGACAGCATACAGATGTATCTACCTCCTGCGGCCAATAATAAACGTTTAGATAACTGATTTATTTACTCCGTAATAATGGGCCATTCGCAGTTTCACCGTATAAAGTGCTCAAGACATGCATGGCTTAAAGAAATCTTTGAGACAGGCATATGACTACTGGCAGAATTGACCCTTAGGAAGTTGGAACTTGGAAGAGTTTTAAGCCTCTTTCTCTCTCTCTCTTTTTAAATCCCTTTTGTCTTTTTGTTATTGTAGAAAGATTAGATAGAGACATATGTACTATATACAACAACAGAAAAGAAACACGTCCAAGCTACCTACTCAAAATTTAGACCATACCACATCACACCATATCCACGTTAGCCAAATGATTATGTACATACATAGGATATTTATAACTGTCAGGATCGGTATGTTGGTTTTCTGTTGTGAAAAACAACAGGCATACGGAGGGTGGAGTGGATTCATGCTTATTCCAAAACCTTATATCGTAGCACGACAGTCCTTCCGTGAACCAGCGACCAATGGCTCATGCAACTGCCACAGCAGACATTTTGGCAAGCACTTTCTGCTCCAGAAGACCTCTTCGACGCAAAACTTCATTTTTGGTCTTGCAAAAGGTCCTCGTATACACAGGTTCGGCTCACCGATGGGGAAACAGGTCTGAGGACTGGCAGATCTGTCTAGCGTGACAGATGTGGAATGGCTACGCGGCAGGGTAACAGTCCTCATCATCCTCATCCTCATCCTCATCGTCGACAGGTTCAACATAATTGAGATTGCTAGGGCGCTGCTCCCGCGGTGCCCGCACACAGACAAGCTCGATCTGCACATCGTCGGCGCTGTTCAAGGGAGCACTGCCCCAGCTGGGCCCTCGCGAAAAGATACCGACTGCCACTTGGACCGCCTGCTCCGAAGGAGTTATGTTTCGGATGTACCACGTCCTCCATGGGAAGGCACTGCTTCCGGGAAGACCGACTGTTATCGACTGATTCAGTTCGTTCTCTTCAACGAATGCTATTTGTAACATCATCAGTAAACTACCATGGACAAGGCATGACGAGAGGGAAAAAGAAAAGGAAACGCACATTCGACGGGAATGACGCCGACTTGGAAAAGGGATTGAGGACAGGATGGTATCGTCGGGGGTGGCTGGGCTTGGCTCATCTGCTGCAAAACAGCCTCGAGAGGGCTGTTGTAATAGACACCTGAAGCGGCGAGGTTGTAGATGGAATTTTGGAGATATGCCTTCAGATTCTGGGAGCATTGGTGTCCCCAGACGCCGTCACAGCCGTTGTTCTCACCGCCGCTAAATCCCGTGAGGTTCCCTACCCGCAGCGCAATCTCTGTCGTCCGGTTGGCGTGAATAGGGCGGTTCCCAACCCTGTTCTGGTCGTACTGCAGCCAAAAGCTCGCTTTGATCATCGGACCACGGTCAGCTGCGGGCAGCAGTTGCTGCTCAGGATCCGATGGGGCCTGCGCATCGAAGCCATAGTAGAAACGGATCGGGGTCTGGAAAAGAGGTTCAAAGACAACAGGAACAGACACCTGGGCGAGGGGATCAATGCATCCGTCATCGTAGAAGTCGCAGATCTGGGCAACAGCCCGGCTGGTCAGTTGTAGAAGGATAGTAATAACCAAGACGGCGGTCACCGTCCATCGCTTCGAGAGCGGAGATCTCATCTCCGCGAGTAGGATGAGGCCGCCTCCAGAGGCGACAAAGACGAGGAGAGGATCGAGAGGTGAAGGGGCATGACCACCATCTCAATCCCCTTGAAGCAAGGCCGTGGAGAGTAACACAGAAGGGAAGAGCAGAAAAACAAAGACGAGAGAGAGGAGCGGCGGTGATGGATGGGTCCGATTCGCGGCTAAATTAGTGAGGTCGCAAAGTATCACCCGCAGTCACAATCAGACCAGCCTTTAGGTGCTTAGAGTTAGTAGCCTTGATTGATACGGAGTAGTTGCTCCGTATAGCCCCCGCAGTGTCGATGTTTCCGAGCCGACCGTGGGCAGACGCCAATGACGATGCTGGTCGACATTATTATTCTTGCAGGGAACCCCATCACGACCCCTTATCAATCGCATGATCTGCCACCCTCCACCGTGCTTTGCTCCCTGAAACATGATTATCGAAAGGACATCTCGAACTGGCGTGTTTTACGTAACCTTACCCACTTCTTCGTTTCACTGGAGGCTTGGCCGCAGCACCACCGCACTGCGATCTTTGGAATCTGGACTGAGCTGAAACGTCGTTATCGATATTGTGGATTTAGGAAGATTCCCATATGGCATATGGAATTGTCATCCTTGTACAGATCCATCAGACGTGCATTGATGCTCTTCGCTATTAGAGGGACAACAATAGGCTTACGGTAGAAGGCTACTGGTCTCGTGCTCACCACGGCACGCGGAACAGCACGTGCTGCCCAACGCGTCTCGCCACGAGGTCGATGCCAGCTCTATCCGTATAGATGTTTACGTGAAAATTCCAGTAACTCGTATTTCTACATCTTAATACACTGTCCCAGTCATCAGGGCGCCTTGGAGACGACAAGCACAAGGATAATTCACACAGAGATGCATAGTAATAACATTGACAGCGTCAAAAGAAAAGAATGGATCCCTATTGTACATACATGCTCGATCGATAACACGCTTCTGATTCCCCTTTTAGACAAGGGGAAAGAAGCGAAAGAGTGGAATCGCTTGCCATCCATGCGTCCGTCCAACCAAAACCCTGCCCCGTTCATACTATACATACATGATACATAGAATCATTTCTGCGTACCTTGTCCCTGGCTTCGCCGATTCAGCCGTATATAAGAGAGATAAGCTTGTCGAAGATGGTGTGAAGACAATTTGGAGAGGGTCCCTCATCCAAAAAGAAAGATAAATCCCAAACTCCATAACGCCGCGCTGTAAAAGAGACGAGAGGGGTCTTAATCCATCATTTCGGAATAATTAGCGATGGATCGGTATTCTTCAATCCTCTTCCTCCAAATATGCATGCTCCTTCATGCCGTTCCCGTGTTGCCAGGCTCGCTTCCACGTGCCCTCAGCTCCAAGAGCCGCCGCCTCGCGATCCTGTCGCATGCCCTCGAGAACGCCAACGATTCCGCCATTCCGTAGTCGCTCCAGAACCACATTCATTCCCTGTTTGCTTCTCAAAATGGCGTCGCGCGTCCTGGTGACCCCAATGAGCTCAATGGTCCGCTGGATGCCGGCGGTCGACAAGGACGAAAAAAGACCACGCTTGGGCACGTCCTCCTCAACTTCCACCAGCTGGTCTCCGCTGCCAGACGCTGCCTCAGTTTTGCGTCTGAGCAGCCTTCCTTGACCCAATCGCGAGCGGAAGGTGACCGTCGTGCGGACCGTCGTATGCTCATCTTTTCGGTCATCATTCAAGAGGCTAACGGAAGCCGGGTCGGCCTCTGCCCCAGATTGGCGTTGATAGAACTGTCTTTCCACAACACTCAGAATCCCAGTCCACTCCATGTTGCGAGATTCCGTCTTCATCCAGCCTTCCTGAGGATCGACGACGGTCGTTTCGAGAATGTAGCTCTGGCCGGAATTGTCGGCCCCTGCGATGCCTTTTGGAAGGAACTTAAGCATGGCAGAGGGAATTTTCGATTTCTTGAGATGCAGCCTCGTGGTATGGAGGCGTTTCGTTTCTGGATCGACATAGCGGTCGATCACGTCGGAGGTCAGAACATGGCGAGAGTAGGGGTTGGGATAGCGGAGGAAGTAGGCGAGGGAGACGGCAGGGAAGGAGTAGTCGTAGCTGAAGACATTCTCAAAGAACTTCATGGTTGCAGAATCGACATTTTCTGGTTGTAAGCAGGCGTGAGAGACGCAGGAGAGCTGCTGATGCTGCAGCTGGGAGGTGCTCGTGCTCTTTTTCTCGCTGCTGTGCTGGGGTTAATAGAACTCCCGAGAGTCCGACGACTTCCTGTTGGTTCTGCCAGCTTCAGTCCGGCCGGCGCTTAACCGCATCGGTCATGCGGGGTTGCCGGTGTTTGGTCACGTGACATGGCCGACCTGCCAATCAAGATGCAGCTGGACGCTTCATTGTGATCTCAACATGAGAAGCAAGACTCCATGAAATCATCCATTCTGCTCCCAGCCTGGCTCAACCAATTAAGATATTCGGTATCAATTGGTGCAGACGCAATCTGCGCATTACTCGAATCTCCATTCAAATGACGCTTTTTAATGGGCAGGTAGGGTCAAGAGAGTGGATCTCTGTCCGTCATCCTGTTGATGCAACTACATTATGCCTGTGCGTTATCATGAGCCTGGTGTTTCTATTAGAAATAGAATAGCATCTGCGAGGGTCAATGTGGGACGATGTCCGTTGGTGTAAAGAACCTTGGAATTCTTTAATGGTCCTGTCAAGAGCAGAGAAGACATCTACCGATGGAATGAATATAAATCCAGTCAAGTCTTGCATAATCGACGATTCTTCTGATCTTCTGATTATTCTGTTAAAGTATATAGCAGATAATTAATTAAATTGTTAATAAAGTGTATTCTTGCCAGTCTCTTGAGTCTGATATGTTTACACAAACACATTCTCGATGTTTAATCTCAAGGGACATGAGTTTATATAACAGTACCAGGAAGCTTATTTTCCTCGATTGAGTGAGTTGCTGAATTCCTACCTCACACAGCAAGTGAAAGCGAGTTTGCCTATGTACTCCGTATGTGACCTACTAAGTGCCGGCCCAAGCCGCCCACTTACAGGGACCTACCTATCTGCCTGTGCCACCGCCCAAGGACATATAATTCCTTTTTATCTACCATATGTCAACAAACACAGGCCGCGATGGTGCAGTGGTTAAGTAGCCTAAGTCTCTTATACCTACTAACATCCAGATGAACGGCCTGGGTTCGAATCCCTCTGGTTCCAATGAACCCAATACAAAAAAAACTACTACAGGTGATAGTAAAACCCCTGCCCGCCAAAAGCAAGGTGGGGGTTTTCGTAGCATCAGCGGGTCCCGGGAGGGAGGACCCCTGGTGTGAGCTTTTTTATATGCTGCATTGGCTGGAAGGTCGAGTGGTCGAGTCGGGTGGTTGTTTATATTTCCTTTTTGGGAAAGTGTGAAGTTATTTTTTCGTTAAGTCCCTTGTATACTCCGTACAAAGTTCCTCATAGATGAACTAAGCACAAAGGATATTGTTTCCTCATACAGAAAATTCATGCATCTGATGTCTAACTTTTCTTTTTTCCAATTTGTTTCTTTTTATGGTCACACGATAGGAATTTCCTGGTCGAATCTTCGAGGGTATACCAAGCAGTAATTCATACAGATAACGGCTATGACAGCTCGAATGGTCACCTTTTCAGAACAACTACAGCAGGGATGAACCCTCTCACCCCGTTACTCAACCAGCACTCCTCTCCATCTACAAGATCCTCTGCCCGGACAACCTGCTCTACGCAAAATCCGTGTTCGAGAGCATACCGCCTCGTTACACCGGCGTTTCCGCCACTGGACAGCGGTGGTGTTACCCACTTGTCATTATCTGTATGTTCCTTGTCGTTGACACCGTGAGAGACGCCTGGGCAACGCCGTCGAAAATACGGCGTCGTGATGCTCCCTTCCATAATTTCTCCCTGGGGATTGACCAACAGGACCTCTAGCGGATCCTGTGGAGATCGAATTCCCGCTCTCTCTCGCGCTGCAGCGTAATGATCTCGAGATGTGGTTTTATGTGTTGTAAAAGCGGAAGGAGTTGTTGTTTGCGAATCCACGTAGAGGCGCCACGGGAAGTTTGGACTCAATGATGTATGAACTTGAAAAGAAGACGGAATGAAAAGAGACTGAGGAGGGCATGACGTCGTGGGATGGACATCAACAGTACAGCTTCCACTACTGTCCACTACAATGCGTAGTCTCCATGGCCTTGTCCTGTCAGGAATAAAGGGGTCAAGTGTCTGTGTGAATTCATCTAAATCTCGTTGTAGGAACTCAATCGCCGCTGGCCACTTGAAATGGATTGCTGCGTTAAGTAGACGGTCTCTGTGATAGCGAAGGAGGTAATAGGGCGAGTTCCTGGGTTCAGGATAGCTGGATGCAGCGTTGCGTTCAATGGCATCGGGAAGATCTGGGTCGAAGCGGAGGGAAGAGATGATTTGGAATTGAGAACAGGAGGCACCTGCCACGTCAGATCCGGAGACTGTCATTAGTGAAAGGCAAGAAATGATAAGATATATAGAAAAGGCGTGTCGCTTCGGCTGTCTCGTTTTATATATTTCTGAGCTGGGTCCGCATACAGCTCAAGGTCGTGGTCACGAGTCACGGTTCGGTGATCCTCAAACGGATTCGCCTCAACTGTGATGGTAGAGAAGGCTCGTCAGAGATGAGCGCAAGCAGTCAAGTTAGAGGATACCATATGGCTAGGTAGCCGAGAGCTGCAGCAGAGACCGTGACAGTATGAAGACAAAGCAGAGCTGACAACCGTGACGCGGTGTGCTCTTCGCTGGCAAGCTTTTTCGCGGCTCTGATTGGCAGCGGGCGGGAGCTGTGCTCAGAACGTTCGGCTGCGGGCCCTGGCCCTGGGGAGGGCGACCAATGGAGCAACGGAGCCTCCGAGCCAAAGCGGTTGCCGGATTCCTCGATCGCAAATATTAATCTTTTCAGGTCCAAAGCCTCCAAGCTGCTCCTCTCGCAGTCAGGCCTCGCCGTCCATTTCCATTCCTGGCATCCTCGCTTGCCATTTTATTTCATATTCTCCCTTTTTCTTTGTTCCTTCGAGGGAAATTGTATAATTGGTTTTAATCAGACGAGAGGAAAACGCTGCCGGAAAACCCGCGTTCACGCCCATCATGTCCAACGCAGTGCCTCCAGCGAAGCCCATACAGAACGTAATTGTCGACACATCATCCCTCTCTTCGTCGTCGTCCACATCGGTATGGGACCGTATCTCGAAATGGGTGTCGGAAAATAAGGCGCTCGTCTATACCGTCGCCGGTGTCGCTGTGGTCGTGACGAGCGCAGGTGTGGTCTACTACCTTTCAGAATCGAGCAAGCCCAGTCAGGAGGCAGCGGCGCCTGCGGAGAAGAAGAAGAGCAAGAAGGAGAGACGGAAGGAGAAGAAGAAGGCGGAGGAGGAAAAGAAAGCCAAGGAAGAGAAAGCGGCTGCCGATGGTGTGTATTTAGCATTTTTTTCCCCATCGCGAATCCAGACAATCTTCTCTGACAGCGACTTCAGAATCCGCCAAGAAGGCCGAAGAGTCTGAGGAGCTGCCTGAAATTGACGAGGCTACTGTTGCGACCTTGTCCGAGGAGGTACGTTGCTGGGCCTGATGGATCATCTTTATCTAGCTAATACCGGGCGCAGACGCGGAAATCCTACGCTGCGAAGTTGAAGGCAGCTGGCAACAAAGCATATGGCTCAAAGGACTACAACAAGGCAATTGAGCTGTATGGAAAAGCCATTCTTTGCAAGCCGGACCCCGTGTATTACTCGAACCGCGCCGCCTGTTACAATGTCTTGTCAGAATGGGACAAGGTAGTCGAAGATACTACGGCCGCCCTCGCCATGGACAGCGAATACGTCAAGGCCCTCAACCGACGTGCGATTGCCTACGAGCATCTTGGCAAGTACAATGAAGCCCTTCTCGATTTCACGGCGAGCTGCATCATCGACGGATTCACCAACGATTCGAGCCGGAATGCCCTCGAGAGACTGCTCAAGAAGGTGGCGGAGAAGAAGGGGAAGGAGATCATGGCGGCCAAGGGCAAGAAGCTTCCTAGCGCCACATTCGTCTCCAACTATCTCCAGAGCTTCCGTCCTAAGCCTATGCCAGCCGGTCTTGAAGATGAGGACCTGGATGAGGAGACCGGCAAGGGGCAGCTGCGGAAAGGTTACCTTGCAATGGCCAAGAAGACTGGCGAAGGCTATGAGGAGGCTGCTCGGGCCTTTGAAAGGGCTCTTGAGCTGGGTGATTTGGGTGAATACGAGGCCGAAGCGTTGAACATGCGAGCCACCTTTACGTATCTCCAGGGCGATGCCAAAGCCGCGCTGGAGGATCTCAACAAAAGCGTTGAGCTCCAGCCATCATTGGTGCAGAGCTACATCAAGCGTGCTAGCTTGCATCTCGAGTTAGGTCCGTCTCCGTTTGTTCTTGACCCATGACGACTGATCGACGATATAGTTCATGTGCTGACTAGGAGTAGGCAACAAGGACGCGGCAGCCGATGACTTCGAAGTGGCCATTACGCATAACAAGGATGACCCTGACATCTACTATCACCGTGCACAGCTGCACTTCATCCTTGGCGAGTTTGCTGAGGCGGCCAAAGACTACCAGAAGTCAATTGACCTTGACCGGAGCTTCATCTACTCGCACATTCAACTTGGAGTGACCCAGTACAAGATGGGCTCGGTGGCCTCGGCCATGGCGACATTCCGACGCTCCGTCAAGAACTTTGAGGACGTGCCGGATGTCTACAACTACTATGGAGAGCTGCTGCTTGACCAGCAAAACTTCGCTGAAGCCATTCAGAAATTCGACAAGGCCGTTGAGATGGAGAAGCAGAGCAAACCAATGGGCATCAACGTTTTGCCCTTGATCAACAAGGCTCTGGCGTTGTTCCAATGGAAGCACGACTTCAAGGAGGCGGAGAGTTTGTGTGAGAAGGCTCTGATCAGTAAGTTACCCCTATTTATTCCATCACGTCATGATCGTGCAGGTTAACGGAGTGTAGTCGACCCCGACTGTGACATTGCCGTGGGTACGATGGCCCAGCTGCTCCTGCAGCAGGGCAAGGTAGCCGAGGCACTCAAGTACTTCACGAGAGCAGCTGAACTGGCTCGGACAGAAGGCGAGGTGATCAACGCTATCTCTTACGCCGAGGCCACGCGCACGCAGCTGGAAGTTCAGCAGAAATACCCGCAACTGGCGGCGCGTCTGCAAAGCATGGGCGCCAGCTTCGGCGGTCCTCCTGGCCTGTAAGGAAGAGGTTGTGTGAGTTTGCGACGAAGGATGTGGTGAAATTCTTTTCTCTCTCTGGCGTTTTAGACAATAATTCTCGTCTCTTCTCTGTCCTCCATCGCTGCCATCCTTTGTCGGGTGCGGTGGATAACTTGCATGTCTGGTCTATCCCTATGTGGTTCGATTTATCCTCGGCTCTTCTCTGCATTTGTACGTAATATTGTCGCGTTTTTTTCCGTCTCTCGTGATATTTTTCTGTTCTTCCTAGTTTCTTCGTTTCTGCTGCATGGCTGCCGCCGCTGTATTGGTTTTGTCGAGCGCGGGGTATTTTGGATTCCAGGAGGGGCTGAGTGCAGGGTCTGCGCCATGCGTACGGCGATATGTGTGTAGCTTTTGGCAGGCAGAGAGAAGCCGAGACTGTACAATAACAATCATACCGTAGCTACCGAGATCCGTGGATCAGGCACGAAGCAGGGAGTGCCCGCCCCATCCTTTATCGGAGGCTACGGGTCCTTATCAGCTGACGGGCCCGCGCAGTGGCCCGGAGCGGCCTAGCGTGGGCCTCGCTGGTCACGGGGCGCTGTGAGACAGGCGGCACATACATCATCGTCATCCTCCGCATCATCATCATGACTGTCTGCATGCCTGCCAGCTAGTCATCGCCAAATCTTAATCTAAGCCTCTGGCAGGCACGGAACGCGATTACGACAGCTACGGCTGTCTCCGTCAAGGTCCTCGAACCTGTCTAGGGTTAGGTAGTATGTAGCCCTGTGGTCGTAGTTGCACAACTGGACTGTTTCCTATCTGTCACAGCTAGTACTCCGTATGAACGAATAGATTATCATCGCGCCAGGCCACTGGATTGAGGCCAGGCATACCTCCGCTGATGGCGTAGTTAGGCAGCGAACCTGGCCAGATCCGCGGAAAGTGAGGTCAGGGACGTAAGATGGCTCCAGGCAGCCCAAGTGACTTGAGCTCATTCCTTCACCCCGCTCGCCCGTGTCGAGTCAATCCTCGCAGCCCAGAAGGCATATTCCGCCGCCTGTCTCCTTCATTGGTCGCCCACTTCTCCAGCTGCCAGCGGATCGCATCCCTACAGGCCACGAGTCGAGACAATTCACCCGTCAGCGCATCTGCCTTCCAGGGCTCCGGTGCTAGGTAGGCCTCTCGTGCCCCCTCTAGACTCAACGTCCATCCTGCCTTCCCTCCCCCACCTCTCTTGCTCCTCCATCACCCTTTGTGCTGGGATTATATCTGCTCTCTGGGTGTAACGAACCTCCAGAGACCATCGTCCACAGAGGGTCTTTGGCATTTCAGCTGTGTCCTCTTTAGGGTGAGGTGGCTTGTGCTACCTGATCGTTCTCAAGGCCCAGTGACGATACCTCCCGCCCTCCATTACCACGACAGGTCAACAACGAGGTTCGCACTATAGGAACCTCTTTTCTAGACTGCCATCTGCAATTTTGAATGCAAGCTAGTCTTCGAATTCCACCACATCATCATGGCAGGCAAACACGGTACGTCCTTCCGTCTATCGTCCAGGTTGTCTTTGCTAATGAACGTGTCCGTACTGTAGTGGTCGTGACGCTCCACCCGGTCTACTCGCCCGATACGCTGCCCTTTCGTTCGTTGACCTTTTCCTCCGACAACGATACCGTTACCATCGGCAGATCATCCAAATCGCAGAGCAAGAACTTGGTCCCTCAGCACAATAATGGCTGGTTCGAATCTCGAGTCATGTCTCGGAACCACGCCCTGCTCGGCGTTTCCTTGCAGAAGGAGGTACGCTTGACAAATTTTCACAACATCTCTATCATGATCTAACTATTCGTTCGGACCGTCTATGTTCGCGATACCGGCTCCATGCACGGAACAGCTGTGAATGAAAAGAAGATCCCCACAAACCAAGATGTCGCTATTCGTAGTGGTGATGTATTGACGTTTGGGAATGAAGTTACTCGTGGATCCGGTATAGCACCAACCCCTTGTCCTCTTTTCCCCCTACCAACGTAACCGGAATCGAAAGTCAATTGATTAATTAATTGAACTCATCTGCTAATTGTGCCCGTTGACAGAGACCTTCCGCCCCATCACAGTTCGTTGTGAGTGTCAGTGGTTCAGTAACAGGCAAGCCCCTCCCAGCCGTGGCTTTTCTTTATGGTTCCCCATTCTTTGACTTATTGCTGACTTTTAGTAGCAGCGATCAGGAGAAAGTTCACCCCGACTCCGAGACCGGAAAGCCGACAACAAACAGTTTCTCCGTCCCGGACGATGATGATGAGGTGGTAGAGGTGTCGCCAGACTCGCTCTCGGCAGAGATGCCCTCTGAGCATCATGTCGTCATTCCTGATTCAGACAGCGAGTCTGAGTCCGATAGTAGCAACGAGGTGGAGCTATCTTCACCAGTTACTTCACCAGAAACCAAACATTCGGATGCATCAGAGGCGAGAAACGTCCAGACTGCCGTGAAAGGCAGCAAACATGAAACGGATGATGCGAACCCCTGTGAAGGTTCTCTGCAGAGCCCTATTCTTCTCGACCGTGATGAGCCACCGCTGAAATCTGGAGGTCACCGAGCCCGTCCAGCAGGCATGCCGCCTCAGCGGGTGCTGGGTCAACCGTTCGGCCACACTCCACCTGGTGCCTATCCCAGCTTCCAAGAAGATGACCATGTTGAAATCCCGGATAACGACCAGGACAGTGCAGATGATTCGGACCAGAGTTCTGACGACGATTGGAACAGCAACCGGGAGGATTTGAGTGACGAAGAGGGCTCAGACTCTAACATGTCTGCTAAGGT